TATGCATAAGCAATCATCGTGATTGAGGAAGCTATTTTAGTTTGGCAATGATTCAGCCTAGATTATGACATTGGATGTCTGTTAATCTCGGACAGATGGGAAGAAATAGCTTTACCTTCTTCTCATGCTGGGATTAGAACCCATGTCTCCCATGGGCTTCAATTCCAACTACTTTGAATTGCATGAAACCACACACTTGGGTGCTCAGAAAAGAACGATTTTTGTTTAACAGATATAATACAGAAATGAATTGGTTTGATCCATATATATAAATGGTAATTGCAAGTTGAGGAGATTTATTTAGTATTATCATTTAGTTTTACTTGTTTAACTTGGTATACGTGCTCAGAAATGAACTGATAGACATTTGCTAACATGCTTTTGAGAAGGTTCTGGTTGCTAATGGGAAGAACTCAGTTTGTTCCATGCTAGTGATTAGCACTTGTAATGAAGAATTTATCCGTTTCTCCTGGAATGGTGGTTAATGAGATGTTATTACTATTAGACAAATTCTAGTATGAGAACATGACCTCTACATTGAAAAGAACCCTGGTATTGACCCGCTATTTACTTTATAGTTTATAGAATAGGCTAGCAGCAGCTAATGTGTACCAATCTGGAATCATTTAAGAAATTGTCTTTTATGATATCCCAAGGTCTGTTTGGACAAACACATATTCAGCTGGCAGTGTTAAGCTTGTCAGACTAAACATTTTTTCTTTTTCTTTTTAATTTGAAGTTGTTCTGATATTTCAATTATAGTGTGAGTGAGAGATACGATTCTGTACAAGTCTGTCTATGAAAATAATAATAATTTGAAGATTTTGTTTCTGAGGAAGCTATCCTTTATAAGTTGATTGTGTACATGATGGTTTTCAATATCACTTAATCTGATTAAGTGACCGAGGATAGGACAGATGTCGGTAATATAGGGATTCACCAACTTAAATTTAGTAGTTGGGAATTAGAAAATTTGAGGTGGATTTTGGCTGAACTTTTGAGGAAATGTATCACATGTTAGTCTAACTGATGGATCAAATGATGGAGAAGTAGTGGGTCAAGTTTTTTAGAATCTAGGTGGAGGAGGAAGAAGAAGCAGAGGTAGAAGAAGGGTGAGGAAGGCAATAGCTTGTTCAGTTCTAACTCAGAAGGGTTAATCTTCACAGAAGAGGATCATTTTGACAGGACTAGATCAAGTTGTGCAGTTCTTTAATCTACAAATGCTTGCTGATGACGAAAAGGGATCACAGTTTCTTATAGTTTATTGATGTGATGGGGGAGAAAGCCACATAAAGTATGAATAAGAAAATAGAGAATTCCACAAGAAGTACATGATTGTGAAGAGTCCAATCATCTATGCTGATTGGAATATTTAAGTGCTCCAAAAAGGTTAAAAAAATAGAAAAGTTACACCTATTTGTACTTAAGTAGAAGTGTTTGATATGTTGGAAGTAATTCTCCATGTATGTTTTCATAGAAAGTGTTTTTCTAGTGTTTGGTTTGTGAATGGAAAATAAGTTTTTGGCAAAAAGTATGTACTAAATATTAATAATGGTATCAGCAAAGCATAGTGTTTGATGGAACTTTTTATTACTGAAGAATGTGGTAGTTGGAGCAAGTAATATGAACTTAAGAATTAAAGATAGCAGAAAGAAAGATGACTTACTTCTTAAGTGAGAGAAGTAATTTCCCCCCTCTTAATAGCAAAAAAAATTGGCTTCTCTTAAAAACGATATTTGTCTTGCCAAGAGCTAAATACTTATCTATTTCTCTTTGTCCATAGTGTCTACATGAGCGCCAAATTGGTAACTTCTCATGCTGTCCTTCAGTCTTTCTACCTCCTCAATTTCCAGTCTAGCGACATCTGTATGAGATTTGTAGCATCACCATTCAGTTCCAAACATGTTCCACACAATATACTATAACCTGTATGTAATCGTGCAATGCAGCAACGGTTAACATCCCAATAGGAATGGGCTAGTTGGATGTCAATCTGCAGAGTAGGATTTTGGGCGCCATTCCTTGACTTAAGTTGTTTCAGCCCTTGAGCGAGTTTAAAGAACTTTCTATGAAAATTCTTAGTTTGGGTAATTCATAATTGGATCTTCTGTGATGAGTGATTGAGTGGTCCTTCTAGTCCCATGTTGCTATTCAATTATTTTGCTGTTTGATGCAGCACATGAAATATTAAACAGATGAAGTAGGTTTATAATGTGCAACTTTATTTTCATGATGACAACTTGTGAAATCATCTTAAGTGCTGTTTCTTTTTCTCATAATGGTGTTCTCTCAGAACAATTGACACCTTGACAGTGTGGTTTTACATGATAAAATTCTTCTTTTTCGATAACCGAGAAATCCCGAGGGCCAGTGGCACATGGTCCGCAGTGCTGTGGATAATTGGCTCACCCCTCTACCCTACTTTACTTTTAACCTTCTCCACTTAAATTCCGGTCTTTTGGCTGCGCCAAGGTTCGAACCTGTGATGCTCGTAATAAGATTCTTAACTTAGGTGGGTTATAGTGATGCTAATTATAGTGTTCTCATTCTTTTCCATCTTTATGCACAATGCTTTATTTCTTTTTCCCTACCCTTTGTGGAAGTTGATTCAGTAGTATTTGTTGTTGCTCTTGTATCTTTTAATCAAAATGGTTAATTTTGTGGACCCATTATCTGTAATGAGGAAACATTCATCGCTTAAACAGTTAAATGATCTTATGGTCATAAAAGCCACCTAATAAAGAAGAATTTCACTTTCTAAGAGCAGGTAAGGGTACCTTTTGGGCCTGAAGTACTGGAATTTCTAAATTTCTCTGAATGAAATAATTCTGATGACTTTTTGATCTGTGAAAATGAAACCGTCTACAACACAGTCAAAGATATCTTTTCCTTGAAAAATGACTACTACTATTTTCTGAATCACCCCAAAACCTACAATCTTTTTTTTTTGACCAAATTACTTCTTTGCCCTAATTGAAAGATGTCCTAGTTACAGGTGTGTCTCTCAACTCTCAACATTATCAGCTATTAATGTGAGTGCCTCTGGCAACCTTTAAGGTCACTAAGTAGGTAAGCATATTGGATTTCACTACAATTCTGTCTTGCATTCACCCAATTTAATAATTAAATTGTTTTGTTGCTCAGGACTAGTAATGCTAGAGCCAAGAAAATACTTCTGCTGAACCTATCTAACAAAAAAAGGTTTTACTTCTGCTGAACCCCTCTTAACAACCAGAATAACTGAGGATATTTGTTTACTTGAAAGCCTGATTGATTTTAGTATGCATGACATGCTTTTGCTTCTAGCTGACACTTGACACAGGTTTATATCTAGTGCACATGGGTTTATGGGTTCATGTTACATTGAGTAGTTTTGAAGTTGTGGTCTAGTCTGATTCAAGTGTGCACTATACTCCAACCAAACAATAAGGAGTATTTTCTGTTTTATGTGGACTTGGATAGGAACTCTTATGATCAATGGTGTATTGGCCTTCAGTAGCCACTTATGAGAAATAATTGTCCTTGGTACCGTGATTGTTTTTGAGCAAACACTTTCTTCCTCTTGAAGCCAGGGAATTCTTTTACTAACAGCTTGAAGCATCTAACGGCTGTGAAAACACACTTGTTAGAAAAGAAAGAGACCTTGTGATACCATCATTGACATTATTTCCTTGTTTCTGCCCTCTGATGTGTACTCCTTGTATTATAAGTTACCATTATCCTCTCACTTTTTTTCTCCATTGAAAAAGTGTATTGACAAAAGACTGCAGGTTAATTCACATGTTGTTTTGCCTTTTATATATGGAGAAATAGATGAGGGCAGTTCTGTTTATCTTACTCCTTTCTTTCTATTTTATGCTGTTTTTATCAGGTCTGGGATCTTGGTGGGCAAGAAAGACTGAGGACATCATGGGCAACTTACTATCGTGGAACTCATGCTGTCATTGTAGTTATCGATAGCAGTGACAGAGCCCGTATTTCCACTATGAAAGATGAGCTGTTCAGGTTGCTCCCACACGAGGATCTGCAAAATGCAGTTGTACTAGTCTTTGCAAACAAACAGGATCTTAAAGATGCCATGACCCCTGCAGAGATAACTGATGCACTTTCCCTTCATAGCATCAAGAACCACGATTGGCATATACAAGCCTGCAGTGCCCTGACTGGTGACGGTTTATACGATGGTTTAGGATGGATTGCACAGAAAGTTCCTGGCAAAACACCAACCTAGACGTCGTTAGACAAAGGGAATTGTTCTTTTTCTGTATTCACAGAACTAATATGAAACTCCACGCCCTTGCTGTAAGTTTTGCATTTCCTTGAAGAGCTACTGGTTGAACCTTTTCTAATAGCTGTGACAATTGACTCCTGCAAGGATATACAAGATTTGAATATTCTGCATTGCAACGTTTATATCATAACTCAGTGTAATCCTATAAGTGAGGTTTGAAGAGGATAAGATGTACGCAACCTTATGGGGTAGAGCGTTTGTTTTCAAATTTCAAATTACCCTTGAACAACCCATATTTATATATTATATTTATACCTTTCGAAAACACATATACACTTGACTACTTGTGCATTCAAAACAACTTCAGCTTTAAAAATATGTAGATATATAATTATAATCAAATATTATATTCAGGTGAATTATATTTTGCATGCACAGAAAATGCTCTACTACATTTTGGAAAAAGAAAATCTAGCTATATTATTATTTTGCTATAAGATAAACGTCCCTTTTGAATAATTACGTGTTCGATAGAGCGGTGGATCCATTGTGATTATTGCTACGTGGCTCCCCTATGCACACGTGTCATCGTTTCATGATAATAAATAAATATTACTACTTAGGTATTATTTTCATTTCTTCACTACTCTTAAAAAATCCCTCCTACTTTCCAGAAGAAGAAATGTCTAGTACTGTATTAATGGCCATTTCACACAGTTTTTTGAAGAAAACAATTTCATTTTATCACTCAACTTGTACAACTTCGTTAATGGCTAAAACTGTAAGAATAAACGGCCCAAATCTTATTTCAGCCCATATGAAAAGTTACAACAATTATGACCTATCTGTTTTAGAACCTGTAGAGATACCACCAGAAAACCCTGCTAAGGAACCACCGTTATCACCTCCAAGCCCAGGCCCAGAATTTCCAGGTCCACCAATACCATTACCGCCCGATCATGATCCAATGGGCCCAGACATGCCTGGGCCACCGCCTGAGATTGTTCCGCCCGGTGGGCCGGATGTTATACCTCCGATAGACCCGGAGATTGTTCCGCCTGGTTGGCCGGATGTTACACCTCCAACACCACCGGAGATTGTCCCGCCCACCGGGCCGGATGTTGTGCCTCCGAAGGAGCCCGAACCTGAACCGTGGCAGGTTCCGCACCCTGATGTCCCATCACCCATCATCTTTTGATGATTTAGTGTCAGAGCTAGAATTTTAAATGAACTACTTTTAATGGATTAAGTAGATTTTGAATCAAGGCTAATTATGAAGATATTTTTATGTTCTTTTTCATTTATTTTTTTTGCATATTGTGCGGAGGATAAAATAGAACTGTTCATTTTCTTGTCAATAAAAAAGATATGACAATCAAGACCACAAAAAGAATAAAATTTACATCTTTCAATCATAAATCGAAACATTGAACAAAATTAACAGAATTAAAAGTACATTCTCCTCTCAAACAATTTAAGCTTTGATTTTTTTTTAAAATAAAATGCTCATGCTATAAGTATACTCTTAATTTACTAAATTCTTCTAATAATATATATATATATATATATATATATATATATATATATTGAAATTTATAATGTACTAATCAAACTATTTTGAAGTAGGGCAGGTGTCAGATTGCATGGCCTCCACGTGTCTCATGAATAACACGTATCAAATACAAAGGTGTCTCATGAATAACACGTATCACTTGCACTATCCTATACATTTTACAAAAAAAGTTTGTGCTAAAACCAAATAAATGATATCTTTAATATCCCCGTTCTACTAAACAGATTACCAAAATAATTTTAAAAAAATGCTAAGAGTTTCAGCCAAATATTATACAAAATCTTCAATATTTCTTGTTCAAAATTTGAATATTTCACTTGGACTTACTAGAAAAATGAGCAAGGAAAATCTTCCATCTGATTTTCCTACTACTACCACGCCACCGCCAAATATCAGCACACCCACCGATGCACCGCCGGCGGTGGAGGATTCACCTTTCGTGCCAGATTTCGATGCCATTCCACCGATAAGACCAGGTAAATAATCGTTAAACTTTATGAATTTAAATTTAGTATCTATTTAATTTTTTTTATTAGGTTAAAAAGAATAGTATGATTGATAAGTTAGGTAGTAAATTACGAGATATATATCATTTAGTGATTTTTTCATATATTATAAGGTTTGATGTTATTCTACCGATAAAGTAAAAATATAAGGGCAGATTTTCTAATACAAGATATTGTTGGTGTTAATTTTATTTTTTAGTATTAGATTCGAACAAATATAAAATAGTAAATATATAATGTATTTAGGTGCGCAAACAGTAAAACACTTAAATTTATATAAAATTAAATAATTAATACACACATGACACTAGGTATGCATGTGTGTGTATTAGTTCAATTTTATACAAATTTAAGTGTTTATTTTTCTAACCTCAAAGTTGGAGGCTATATATGTCAAGTCGAGTTAAATGGTACGTTTATTATTACCTCAACAATAATGAATAATAGGGGAAGATTCATTTCGTTAGAAGAAAGAGTTGCAACTTGTAATTACTTTTGTTATAGTTTGAATATTTAAATTTTAAAATATCTAATTTGACTTAAAGCTTTAAAGATTAGTTAGATTGACTTTCGATCGAAAAGCTAAATAAAATGTAAGGAGTAATTTTTTTCTACACGAACTAAAACTATTAGATATAGATAGTATTAACACTATAGTTGAACTGCAGGTGAAAACCCTCCACCACCATCACCGTCACCAACCGCGCCGCGGACCGATAGTCCTGAATTTTCCGAACCAACGAACACTTCTCCGTCAGGTCACGAAGCACCACAACCACCTACATCACCACCTGGACAGCCGGAGGCGTTCCCACCACGCGCTCCGGACGCTACGCCTACTAAACAACCTCCGGATGCTGGAGAGCAAATTAGAACATCTAATGTTAGATCTGAGTAGTGAAATATTACATATTTTCGTTTTTTTTTAGTAATATATAACTATCTGATATTCGAAATTTTCTAAATCTCATTTAGAGGTTTATTTGTTCGTAAACTTGAAACGTACATGATGCTAAGGGTATATTTGAACTATGTATGTATTGGGTAAAACCTTCACTTTGTAATAGCCTACAAATAATCACACAGTGAATGTAAATCGCACTAGGCAAGCTCTATGCGACAAGCTCGACTCAGAAGGCATTGAGGGAGGATTGATCATGGGTCATCCGTGTGGATAACCACCCCTGAGCTATCCCGATGGACATGTACGTTTTTTCACGTAGTAATAATACAAAGTATTTAGTTTCGATGGAAAAATAAGTTTGCGTTTGAAGGGAAATTTGCATAATTGGAGGTTTAAGCGTTCCATTATTTATCGTTATTATTTGAATTCAAGATCTTTTATCAAGCACAACGAGATTTTATCTATCTCATCCTGACATTGTTTAGATTAAATTTGGATTTGATCGAATTTAGTTGATTTTGTTTAAATAATATATTTGTGTCAATTTTTTTTATTAAGTACTAATTATAATACATTAAATTTGAAACTCAAATGATTAACACTTGAAATCGCCATTTCAAAATTTGTCTTTACCAAATTATGTACTACTATATTTCATTTTAAAACCAATTATAACTTCTCATTTTAAAATTAAGCCCCAAATTTTACATTTCTAGGTAAAAGTCCCTTTTATCAACTAAACCAAACAAGCTCTTTTTTTAAAAAATTGCATGTTGTTTAATCTTGTGATTTGCATTATTGTACCCTATTTTGTATTTGTCTTTAATATTTTCACTGATAATTTTCATATTTTTGTGTTATAATATCTCACAAGTTACGTTTACGACTTACCTAAATAAACTAAAATTTTGCCCATCGCAAGTGTAGCAGTTAGCAATGTATACTAATTAGAAGAAATTGCATGGTGGTTTCCTAAAGTGTTGGACTTATTTGCTACCAAAATGATGGATGTTCATCACGCCTCTAAGTTTCTTCCTATATATAAAAATACTGACTACCCTTTATGTATTTTCGGAGTTAATTTGCATCGCTTGCTTTGCACATCGACTAATTCTACAGGTATTTGCTACCTTTCATCAGCACACAAATACGGTAATCTATTTTCTAGCTTTCAAGTCTAATGCAGATTGAATGCTCTTTAAAAATTTAAGTTATATATATTGATCAGAATGTTAACATCTTTCACACGATCATGGTAACTTAATTCAGTGACACAACTAGGATTTTCACTCTACTATATATACATAAAAAGTAATTTTAGTCATTTTATTTAGGTTACCGTTAATGTTAGTGTAAAGATTTACGTGTAATTATCTTATGAGTGATATGATTGTGTAAGTATTTTTTACGATCAATTCATAAAACTTAATCTCTCTTGTGGCTAAATGTATGATTGAAAGTTGAATTAGTAAATATGATAAGTCGTAGTAGACGTTTGTACATGAACTAGATGAAGTAATTTGTTAAAGGAGACGAAGCAAGGGGGCGAGAAGGGGTACATACGACCCCCTTTGCCCCTGAAAGACAAAACCCCTTGTGTCGAAAAGTTATATTGTATATATAAGGTCAAAATTATTTCTTAGGTATAACCTAGATGTTGATATGCTTCTTCTTGAACTAAGGGTCTATGGAAACAACTTATGTGCGTACACACTACCCTCTTCCGACCCTACTTGTGAGATTGCACTGGTTATGTTGTTGTAAATAATAGATGTTGAATCATGTCTTTGTATGTTTACTACTTTATATTTTGAATCCCCATAGTGAAAATCTTGATTCCGTCACTGGACGTGATGGCTATACCTTCCAAGAATTTGTACTTCTATACTAATATTGTTCATCTTTGTTTCTCTATGTAGAGCCTGAGAACTTGTGGACAGAATGAAGATTAAAGTTTTACTTGCAGCATTACTGATATGGAATTTATGTACCTCTTCCTTTGGCTTCAATAATGCATCTGCTAATAATACGATACGAATAGGATTAAAGAGGAGAACTTTGGATATTCATAGCATAAAGGCTGCAAGAATTTATGCTAAACATCATCATAAAGATTTAAACATGAATCTTGGAGCTCTTAGAGATGAGATAGTTTATGTGAAGAACTATATGGACGTCCAGTATTTCGCGGAGATTGGTATCGGTTCACCTCCTCAGCATTTTGCTGTTGTTTTTGATACTGCTAGTTCAAATCTTTGGGTCCCGTCCTCGAAATGCATTTTCTCTGTAAGTTTGTCATGAAATTGTGCACGTCATTGTAGTTTCTGGAAGAAAATTGAAGTGTGTGACCGTCTCAGCTAAAAGCTTAAGCTATTAGCGAGTCCTTTTGTTAGGTCTAATACCATGGTGTGTGATTATCTCAGCTAAAAGTTTAAGCAATTAGCGAGAGAGCACACTTTTATTTGCTTGACTATGTTTTCAAACCCTTGTAAGCACTTTTTTTTTTGTGCAGATCGCTTGTTATCTTCGTTCCAAGTACAGATCAAGACTATCGACTACATATACAAAAATTGGTATATAGCCAATTGACTTCAAAACTCCTAATTTCGATTAAATATAATTTAATCTTTATACACTGCATAGGTTCAGTTAAATCTTTTGGCTTTCTACTGTAGGAAATCCTAGCAAAATCCCTTTTGGAACTAGATCAGTGCGCGGATTGTTCAGCCAAGACAACGTTAAAGTTGGGAGTTCTGTCATAAATCAGCAGGTGCCAATATTAATTCTTTGGTAGCTTGACGTTGTACGTATGTTCTTAACGCTAAATGTTCAACCAAAATTCCATCAGGTTTTCACTGAGGTAACTCGGGAAGGATTTTTCACATTCTTGAGTGCACGATATGATGGGGTACTAGGACTAGGATTTCAGGATGTTGCTGCAGAACGAGTAACGCCAGTATGGTAAACATCTCTATTTTGTTCATAGATTAGTATTACTTAGTTTTTCGCCAAATTTCTAATGCTTGTTTGACTGAAGCCAGCTGAGTCTGAATCTTATACTCCCTCCGTTTCAATTTGCTTGTCTGGTTTTGACTTGACTCAGAGTTTAAGAAAGTAAAGAAGACATTTGAATCTTGTGGTCTTAAATTAAAGATATGTAGAATGTATCAAAATGTCCTTTAATTTTGTGGTTTTAAAACATTTTCGCGCCGATC